ATTTGCAACTTGGAGACAAATCTGGAAATTCTAGAATTTGCACCTACGCTCGAGTGACCACTCTGAGTACGTGCACTTCCGCTCGAGCGATCTGAAGTACACTAGAGCGTGAAATGCAAGCCCTCAAAAGTTTTTGCATTTTGCAGCATGCTCGAGCGACAAAAGCCACACTCGAGCGAGGATCTAAATCTCACGCTTGAGCGGGGATCGAGCGTCCATCGAGTGTGAAAACAAAGCAACCGGTACTTTTTTCAAAGTTTGCAGACCGCTCGAGCAAAGGAAGTTGTGCTCGAGCGGACCTTCACATTTTGCATGTCCGCTCGAGCGAGGAAAGCCATGCTCGAGCGTGGACCCTATTTTCAGCAAGTTTTGAAAAATATTTTCAAGTACATTTTTGCATCCTCATTCCATCCTAGGCATTCATAGGCCAAGATTAAGACTCCACAATGAGGCTAAAGGCTAGAAACACACTAAGAACAAATGAAATACGTTACGTACAATCCGAGCGTGTGTTTCAATGTATGAATCTGTCATGTTATGTAGGTCACGCGCCTCAAGTTAAGTGAATTGCCCACTTTGTCGTCTATTTGGAGCTACCAGTTATCTGTGATAAACAACTTTGTAAAGTTATGTTCAATATTAAATATTTTCTAAACATCATGATATGAAATAATTAGTTTTCTAAAATGCTACGCTATGTTTTGAATGAATGAATGATTGTCCAAGATTTTGAAATGCATTCGTGGCATCTTTAGCATCATATGATATGAGTCCCTTTATGGGTCATCGGAATGCCTTTATGGTCGTCCCTTTATGGGTCATCGGAAACGTCTCTGTGCATATGAGTCATCGAAATGCTTTATGGTTGTCCCTTTACGGGTCATTGCAATGCCTTTACAACTGTCCCTACATGTGTCATCGGATTTGTTAACTCTAACGGATGCACCACGTACTATATTATGAAATGTACGAACTTTGAATACGAATATGACTACGTATATGAATTTGTTTCTGCTTTGACATTTGATCATATACAAGACTCTATTTCTTTATGGACATCATTCAGTAAAATCTTTACTTTGTTATTATTCACTGGGCTTTCGCTCACTATTTACGTTATGTATGTAGGTGAGCAGGCGCGTGACCAGGCCTAAGCTGTCGCCTGGAGTTTTGGTGTCAACCAGCCATCGTGCCTCCTATGGAGGATCCTTTTAAGATATGTTCAACTTTTGTGTTTTTGGGACTTTAATGCCTCATAAATGTTTATGTCTGGTATGAACATGTTTTGAAAGTTTTGTATAAGTGGCTCAGGTGACGTAAGACTAATGTATTTATGACGTCACATATACGTGTATAAAGTTTTAAAATTTTGTCCCATATATGTCTCCATAGCTCATTGGACTATGTATGTTTCTATATTTGCTTCCGTAGCCTCTACTTATATGTTATCCTGTATGAGGCCTTTCGTAATCCAAGGATTACTGGCCAGTTATGACGCTAAACCCATAGGGCGCGGGTTTAGGTCGTGACAAGTCCAATCCGATAGGCTTGGATTAGTTTTTTGAATCCGTGGTTTGGTTCTGGATTGAAAATTTAAAAATCCGTAGGCCACGAATCAGTTTCGAATTGAACCCGATTCCAGATTAGAACCAATTCGGACCGTATAGAAATAGTATATGTTTATACTATATATCCTCCCACATAATATCATTTATTCTCTCATATAAAAGATAAACTCTAACCTAATTAATGTCACTTGCTCACTGTCTCTCACTTTCATCTCTCTTTCGATACTTTCTCTCTCTCTCTCTCTCTCTCTCTCTCTTTCTCATCTTAGATCAGATTGCGTTCTCTCTCGGTATTGTCCCTCACACTCATCCATCTTAGACTCAGATCAGATTGGTGAGTTGTCTTTCTCTCTCTCTCGGTGAGCTCTCTCTCTCTCGGTAATGTCTCACACTCTCATCCATCTCAGATCAAATCGATGAGCCACTTGTCTCTCTCTCTTTCTCTCTCTCGGTGAGCTGCTTATCTCTCTCTCCGTGAGCTCTGTGTGTGTGTGTGTTCTCAGATCATCCATCTCAGATAAGATCGGTAGCTGTATCTTCTTGTCTCTCTCTCGGTGACACTATTTTTGTTCCTTTGTTCTCAGATGCAGTTGGCTTCGATTAGATCAGTAGCTATAGCTACTTGTCTTTCTCTCGTTGAGCTCCCTCTCTCTCTCTCTCTCTCTCTCTCTCTCCCTCTAACATTCTGAAATGGGTTTAATCTCAAATAAAAAACATACACTGTTGTGATTTCATCTCAGATCGATAAATTTAATCTTAAATCGATTGTTCACCTCATCTATAATGGATTTGGTAAATGTAAGTAAAAAATCTTTATTGTGATTTCATCTCATCTTTATTGTAAGTAAAAGGTTTTATTATTTTCTGTTTTTATTTTTTTCTATTTTTGAAATTTTTTTTCTTTGATTTCTGGTATGATTTATGTGGTATAAAAAGAAACAGTGTACATAGAGACAAATGATTTATGTATTTCTTTTTATTGTTTGATAGATGTCAAGTACTAGAGAGACAAATGATGTCATCGACCTCTCTCAATCTCAATCTAAGCCAGAGCATGATCCTCAGCCTAAAACTCCTTCAGGTTCTTGTCTACTACTGCTGAATTTTGTTCTTGCTGCTGCTGAATTTGTTTGTTGTTATCTCTTTTGTTATCTACTGCTGTTGAATTTTGTTCTTGCTTTTGTTTAAACACGGATTTGTTTGTTGTTGTTATCTCTGTTTGTTTGTTGTCTACTACTGTTGCTGTTGCTTTTGTTTGCTTTAAATGTTCTATATATATTTTTTTACTAAGTGAATTTGTGATTCTAAACCGATCCAAACCGTGTTTAAATGGATTGGTTCCACGATTTAAACGAATTGGATTCGTTCTAATCTTTCAGGAACCGTAGGTAACGGATTGGTCCGGGTTTTATCCCAATCTAGACCATGCTCACTCCTATGTTTAACGAACAAAGACATACAAAAAATAAAATGAAATAGTAAAAGAAAATATTAGGTAGCATTTGGTAGAATTTTAGAATTATGATTTGATAATAGAGTTGTATTTTAAGTTTGTAAGTTTTGGAATCATTATTTGAGTGTGAAAAATTTGTTTGGTTATGAGTTTTGAAAAGACTTCTAAATTGAATTTGAAATGAATGATGTGACATATGATATTTGATTAAAAAACTTACAACTCATAATCAGACACACAACCCAAAATTCTATTCAAAACTCATAAAAAAAATTAAAAAATTACGAAAATATTTTTTATTTAAAATATAAAAATAACAGGTGAAAAAAAAATGAATATTGTTCCGGTTAACAAGCCGATCAACCGGCTTAACATCCGAGGGGACATCCGGGAGAATGACTGGATAGACATGTTTTCAAAAGTAGGTGTGGAATTAATGTTTGAAAATCCTAACCAAACAACGTACTCAAACCCAGGTATGAAATTAAGTTTCCAAAACTCCACCAACTAGATAGACGAGAGGGATGGCAATGGTGGTGGTTTGTTGGCAGCACTGCGGTGATGGAAAGAAGGAGAGAGAGACACACACACAGCGACGAAGGAAAAAGAGAGGTGGTGGTCTGCGATGAAATAGGCAGATAGAGGCAGCAGTTTATAGAAAAGGAGGAAGAGGGAGGTGGCGGTCTATGGTGGAAGAGAAAGAGAGAGACGTCAGTCTACGAGGAAGGGAGAGTAGAGAAATAGAGTAAGAGGGAAGAAAGAGAGATAGAGTGGCTTGTTAGGATTTTTACCGTTTGGAGATATATATATAAGAATGGTATTTTAGTTATTTTGTTTTAACTTGTTCTTATTGACAAGCTATTTTTGTGTTTAATCCTTTGGTTAAAAAAATTCAACTTTAAATTTTTGGCCCAAGCCCCCAACTAATAATTATTAAATCCAACACCTTTTTTTTTTTTAAATTCTTGTCACATCAATTTATAATAAAAATTTATTCATATGATAATATCAAAATAACAATTACAATTATTGATACAATTCCGTGGTGTACACTTACTCTGGAAGCGAGTGGGTTTAGTTAATGGCTTTGTTTGACAAAGACCAAAACTAGAATTTTTAAGCTAAAATTTATAAAAATATAAAATAGGTTAAAATAATCTACAAGATAAAATATCACATCAAATTATAATCATTTTATTTTTTGGACAAATTACAAACACCCCTTCGAGATTTGGTAAAAATACAGATTCTCTCTGAGGTTTAAGAAATTACAAATTACCCCCTGATGATCAAATTTTCATAACAAATTAGGAAAAATTAGGGGAAATCTGTATGAAAATAAAAATCTCAGGGGTAATTTGTTATGAAAATATAAATCTCAGGGGGCGGGATGTAATTTCTCAAACCTTAGGGAGAAATCTGTACTTTCACCAAATCTCGAGAGAAATATTTGTAATTTACCCTTATTTTTTTTCTCACAAATATTATATCTAATTACAAAAAAATTCATTTATCTTTCTAAATAAAAATTTTATAACTTATTAAAATACTCAACTTTCCCCATAAAACCAATTAAACCGAAGTAATGTTAGGAATCCTCTCAAATTTGTAGCAATTTACAAGTTAAAAAAAAAAAAAAAAAAAGAAAAAGAAAAAGAAAAAGAAGTAACGTTAGGAAGCCCAAATGTTGTGGATACGGATGGTGTAGATCTATATTTACGTGAAAAATAATGTTAGAGGCTCATAATTTTTGTAGTCATAATGGTTCAAAATTGTCAAAACGATGTCATTTTGACATATTTTGCACTCAAAATGACGTCGTTTTGACAATTTTAAACTATTATAACCACAAAAATTATGCCCCAAACATTTTCCTTACGTGGAATATTTAATAAGGAATTTGATAAAATTTTTAGAATCGTCACAAAAAAGACGGCTTTCATTGTCAACGCCGACGTGGCGACAGTCCATGGTGATCTCAGCTACCCGCCACGTGTCACATTTCCATTGGTCCACCTATTCTCCGGCCCACTGTTCCCTTAACTTTAACCAAACCCCCCTCCTCCTCTTCCTCTCTCCTCCCATTCATTCCTATCGCTCCTTGCTTTGCAAGAGAAAGATTCGCTGTGTCGAGAAAGGTATGTATGTTAATCCCTCTCTCTCTGTGAGAGTTAGGGTTTAAGGCTTTAGATCTATGGTTGTCAAGTTAATTGCGTGCTTGTTTGTATTGTTTTTCTTTGTAGATCTGAATTCGTTGACTGTTTTGGTTGATTGATTTGTCGTTCTGATTCTAGTAGTATAGCGATTGATTTGAATTAAATTTGTTGCAAGTGTTTACAGTTCGATTTGTTGTGGTGTAAACCACAGTGCGGAATTGTGGGAAAATGAAAGAAATTGAAAATTATAAAAGTACCTATGTATGGGGTCTGGAAATGGATAGAAATACAACATTAGATTCAAGGCTGTGTATGTAGTTTTTGTCTACTCTGTTTTCTTGACAAAGCAAAAAGTGGATTAGAGACTTACAGTAGTCTGTTTGGTTGCTGAGAGTATGTAGAAAATGGAGATGAGTGAGTTGTTGATTCTTTTAACTTAAAAGCTAATAAAATTTTACTGGATCTGATTCGTCTAGTTTAGGGCATTGAAGCTCAAAATTGTCAATTGACTCTCAAAATATTTTATTATTATTATTTTTTTTTTTGTAATTAGTTTAAATTGCATGTCAGTGCTTTGGATGTTTTAAATCTATTAGAGGTTTTTTGTGTTTAGAACATATTTATGAAGGATATGTGTGGAATTACTTTGCAGAAGTAGGTATTAGTGTAGCATAGCAAATATGGTGGCAACTGAAGCATCACGTGAGGAGAATGTTTACATGGCCAAATTGGCCGAACAAGCTGAAAGATATGAAGAAATGGTTGAATTTATGGAGAAAGTGGCAAAGACAGTGGATGTTGAGGAGCTGACTGTGGAGGAAAGGAACCTCCTTTCCGTGGCTTACAAGAATGTGATTGGGGCTAGGAGGGCTTCTTGGAGAATTATCTCTTCTATTGAGCAGAAGGAAGAGAGCCGTGGAAACGAAGATCATGTCTCTATTATCAAGGAGTACAGGGGAAAGATTGAGGCTGAACTCAGCAAGATCTGTGATGGGATTCTGAACCTTCTTGAGTCACATCTCATTCCTTCTGCCTCATCTGCAGAGTCCAAGGTGTTCTACCTTAAGATGAAGGGTGATTACCACAGATACCTGGCTGAGTTTAAGACGGGGTCTGAGAGGAAGGAGGCTGCTGAGAGCACTTTGTTGGCTTACAAGTCTGCTCAGGTGGGTTGTCATTGTGCCATTAGTGACATTTTTAATTTTATTAACATGCCCATATTGCTATACATGATAAAGTTTATTTGTGCTTTCTTTGGTGAAGGATATTGCTTTGGCTGACTTGGCTCCTACTCACCCAATAAGGCTGGGACTGGCTCTTAACTTCTCTGTTTTCTACTATGAAATCCTCAACTCCCCAGATCGTGCTTGCAATCTTGCAAAGCAGGTATTGCTTATTTAATTGCTTTAAGACCCTTACTTCTGACCCTCCCAAAACCCTGGGACTGCCCTTTTCTTATTTGTTTGCTGTTCCCATTTTCCTTTCATCGCTTGATCGATGTAACTTATTTGTATTTTCTTGGGGCATGTGCTGGGTTGGATATTTTGTCAAATATTAAGAGATAGGATAGGAAATATGGAATCTCACGTTAAGGCCATGTTTGTTTACCGGTGTGGGAGGGGGGATTGGAGTGCTATGGCTGTGGATCCCGCCCACAACTTGTTTGGTGGTGTTTTGGGAGGGGAGAGTAATAGTCTGACGGCTTAGTAATCTCTCTACTAGGTTGTTTGGTGGTGTTTTGGGAGGGAGGAGTAACAATCCAACGAGCTTAGTAATCCCCCTTAGGAGGGATTAGCTTGGTTGGATTTTAGGTAAGATTAGAAAAATAGTGAGCGGATTGAGTCTATTATATATAAAAAATTATTTTTTTAATTTTATCTTTTTTACCAAGTGCACTTGTTTGTTTTAATGTAGAAATAATTTTTTTTTATTTATTTTATATAAAAATATCACTAATTATCTCCCACACTATCGTCATAACAAACACACTTTTACTTAATCCTCCCACTAACAATCCCCACATTAACAATCACTAACCATCCTCTCACTAACAATCACATCTAACTTAATCCGCCAAACAAACGTGGCCTAAGTTTGTGGAATCTCACATCAAGTTTGAGACCTCAGGTTTAGATGAGCAGTCTTTTCACCTATAAAGATACTTTGGGCTCGTTTAGGAACCTGGCTATTTTAGTTGGTTTTTTGGTTATTTTAGCTTGGCTAAAAAAGTTGTGTTTAAGATGATAGTTGGCTTTTTATTTAGATGATTTTGATGGTTGTGAGAGAAAAAGTGAAATGATTATGATTTAGAGCATTTCCAACGGTGGACCAAATTTTTCACCAAATTTGAGTAAAAAAAAGCCAATTTTCTTAATCTGATATGGCTTGCTCCAATCGTGCATCAAAAGGGAAGTGGTCGACCGGTTGGTTGACCGGCCGATCGACCGGTAAGGCCAATTTTTGTTTTATAATTTTTTTTGAACCGTTTGAACTAGTAATTTGAACCATTTGAACCAGAATCGAACACAGTTTTTGCATGAGCTGGGTGACCGGTTGGTCAACTTGGTGGTCGACCAGGGGGTCGACCACTTAGTGTAAAATTTTCACAAATTTCTGCTTTAACGGCTATGCACAGTGAATTGGTGAAAGGAGCAAGCCGTCCTCAGTTTGGTGAAACCTTTGATGTGTTCTCAATTTGATACCAATTTGCTGAAACCATTGGAGCTCCAAAAAGTGATTTTTTTACCAAATTTCAAATCTAATGCAATGTTTGAGGAATCGTTGGAGATGGCCTTAGATGTGACATTTTGTGTTATTGGCTATTTTAGCTTATTTTGTCTTTATTGGCTATTTTAGCCAAAGAAAGCCACCAAACCAACTTCCCAAACACTTAGACATGGGAATTAGTGAAAAGGAGATGCAATCAAGAAAACTTGGTTGGATCTGACATGGATATGCTAGTGTTAAGGTAACAAAGAAGCTCTCCTGATAAAAGATAGGTTGACAAAATGTAGATCTGCGTTCATTTCTAATAGAGCTCAATGGTAGTAAGTCATTTTTTTAGGACTCCTCTATTTTACAGCGTCTTGATCAATAGTCCTTTGTTTCAACCAAATTTAGGATGCTATAGGTGCATGGTGTTTACACTAGCTTCTTCTTTGGTCAGAACTTTGTTTTGATTTGAGTTCCATATTGAAAGTAAAAGGCACAAGAAAGTGACTCACCATTTCCGGTTTTGATCATTGCTCTGCCTTCCTGATTTAGAGATTCTGCTTGGAAGTGTAATGTTTATGTCTCCAGTGGGAGGGTGGCACCCTTGCTTTTAGGTGCTACTTCCATTATTATTTTCACCTTGTGTGTATTGGATGGGTTCCCAACTGTGAAGACTAGCAGTTTGGTGCTAAAGTACGAATCAAAATTTGTCCATAGCAGACAAATTCTTGAACTTTTGGCTTTGATATTCAATGCTTTTGTTTTGTGGGATGCATCTAATCGCCATGCTATTTGTCATTATTAATTCTTCATTAGATGTTGTCCTTGCGCTTTGGTTTCATGTATGTGAATAACATCGCATATGTGCTGTTCTGTTAATTATTATTTTTTCTTTGGTTGGTGCATCAGATGTTTGGAAAGGGCTCAAATTCATGAACTAATTGGATCATAGAAACATAATACAATGGAATGATGATGTCATGAATATTTAGTAGTTTGCAAATCTTGTATGAGTTGTTTCTTTGTTAACCAAGCAATAATCTTCACGGAAAGGAGATTGAACTTTTATAGCAATTGGATTTTAGGTTCTGATCCTATATTAGATGTTGTTCAAGAATTTTCGCTAGGGAAAGGAAGAACTTGGTGCATTTTCTTTCCTCCGTTTTATTGATTGTCAAACTTAAGAAGGAAACTATATTTTTTGTAATTGATAGAGAATGAAATTCTTGAAGAGTAAAGTGAGACTTCTTGATAAACAATCAATAACATGGAAGACCTCTTTTGTTCATCAGAGGAATAGACTAGGGAGTGAGGGCTTGGATAAGTCATAGTTGTTAAGGCGTGCTTAGGCTCCAAAAAAGCCCCCAGGCTCATCAAGGCTCAAAGAAAGCGCTTCATTATCTGCTAGGCCAGGCCAGGCCCTGCAGTTCGACCAGGCCCACATAAAGTACTCAAGCACACGCCTTTTAGTAGGCTCCAAGTCCAAGCTCTTCAAGGTGCTCCTTTTTTAATAATTGAATTGTCTTTTTCGTAATATTTTTATTTTTCAATAGTCACTAATTGATATGCTTTATGTTATATCCACGTTGTTTTAGAATTTAGATAGATAATATTGTTTAATTATTTTTAAGATATATATATATATATATTATTTTATTTTAGATTCATAAGCTTATTATTTGATTAGTTGAAATAGATAACTCTAGTGCTTAATTTTTTTTGTGTAGTATAATTGTATAATATATATGTTACAACTAGCTTTGTCATTATTGGCAATGGGTATTTGATTTAGTGAATGTATAATATACCAATTGAAAAAATTTGCATATCTAACTCTCTTAGTTTGTATGTCAAAAAATTCAGTTTTTCCACCCATTTTAATATCTTAAATTACTTTCATTTGGAAATATATTTAATATACATTCCAATTGCACATGCACCTTACTTCACTTCAGATCGTGCCTTATGTGGGGGCTAGCGCGTAGGCTGTAGGTGACCTTGACACTTTAGGCTTTTAACAACTTTGGGATAAGTGTACTCTGCCTGTTGACAAGGTAGGGACCTATATGGTTGGAAGTTTTAAAGGGAACATTCTTCAGAATGGAGGGAGATATGGACATGGGAGTGGTAATTTAAAACGCCTGGTTACACTATTCTATGGCTTCTGGTACATTGTTATTATGGAAGTTAATGATCATATTCATCGTTAAGAATGCACAAATCTTACCTTTGTCGCCTAGGACTTGAGTAAAGGAGACGACCTCAAGGATTCAAAGGTCATTTAGTCTGGAGATCTGTTTGTTTGTTATCATTTCACAAGTGATTTGTGAACTAATTGGTGAATTCCTTCCTTATTTTTTTTAAAATGTAGATAGAGTACAAGAGCTGTTTTGGTCACTAAGCAGATGGGAAATGATATAAGAAGTTCAGAGATGGAGTTTGTAAGCTAGATTTGGAGACACTCTATCTATGTAATAGGGGTTGGAGATTCTTCTACTCTATGCTGGAAAAGATGTGCTTTTGTCTTCTTGGGCAGGTTCGGAATACAGATTTAACATTGATCCTCTAGCATGCCTGATTTTTGATATTTTGTTGTGGAGGTTTCTTTTATGACCAAATAGCCTTTGGTTTGTGTCTTTCTAAGAGTTCATTTATTGAAATTATTGGGGAATTTGGGATTCATTAGTTTACCTTTTGGGGAAACTTATTGAGCTCAATGGAATTTCTTGAACCATTCATTCCATGACAATTGTGAGACATGGTTCTCTATTGGGTTCTACATTGAAGTTTGGTCCGGGGTGACTTTTGGCACGAGCTTCCTTTGAATCACTTATCCTTCCACACTTACCATTTTCTTAGAGGTGGAGATGCTAATGTTGATCTTATAGTTCTTCGATGCGTTGTTAGGAGCTCCAGTTAATACAGTAATTCAGTGTTATTAAATATTAAAGGGAGATCCATACTTGTTTTTGGTTTATGTAATTTCTGTGTGTAAAATGCATGTTGGTATCTACATATTTCATTGGTAGCAATTCTCCTTTTGCATGTGATTGAGACACTTGTATTGGTAATGTGGTTGGTAGAAGTTATATTACGGGGGTGTTTGGGAAGCCAAAAATTGGTTTTTTTGGGCTAAAATTCACAAAAAAAAACAAAATAGTCTAAAATAGCCAATAAGACAAAATGTCACATCAAACTCATAATCATTTTACTTTTTCTGTTACAAACATCACATCCAACTACAAAAAATCCAACCCTCTTCCCAAATACAATTAGTTTAGCCTACTAAAATAGTCAAAAACTAAAATAGTCTACTAAAATGGCCAACTTTCCAAACGAGGCCTACATGTTACAATTTTGTGCCATAGAATTGAAGTATGGACAGATGTGAACAAGGTTTCAACTTTTGATGTAAAAGTCTGTCTTTGCAATTTATTTATTTATTTATAAATATCCCTCTTTACAATACGTGACTGTGTCACTGAATTTATGGATATGTTATGGCTGCTAAATTTAGGCCTATAATAAAGACCCTTAAAACCATGGTTAATGTTTTCAATTGGTTTTGATGTCTAAACTATTTGATTATATCGTCTCATTGTAAAACCCATTTTCCTTCCTTGGCAGGCTTTTGATGAAGCTATTTCTGAGCTCGATACATTGGGTGAGGAATCATACAAGGATAGCACATTGATCATGCAACTTCTCCGAGACAACCTGACATTGTGGACATCTGATATCGCGGTCCCTCTCTCTCTCTCTCTAGCCTATGTATATATTTGTGTGTGTGCGTGCTTGCATATGTGCTTGTGTTCTCGCATGTGTATATAATGAATATGTTGGTCATCTATTAGTGCAGTGTTAACCTGTAGCAGGGTCTAGAGTGCTAGCTTGATTCATGAAATGAAATCCTGGCTTGATCATTGCCATACAAAACAAACTGGCTATACTGAACTCCAATTATATTTTCCCAAAGACTGAATTCCTGTTGCGGAGCTTACCAAATATCAACCAGAACTAGTTTCTAAATTTAGCATGGATTGAGTCGCATAAACTCCCAATCCAAACTATTTTTGGCTTCAGTTGTTCCCAACTTAATTAGCCCTCAAGCCTACTTTTGGTGCCAAGGTCCATGAAATAGTCTTGGAGCTCACTCAAGGTTGGCTTGGTGTGGATTCCTAAATAGTATTTCGACTCGAGATGAAGTCAATGCACTTGTTACATGCTTCGTGTGGATATGCATATCTTTTTTATAATTTTTTCTCGTTATAGTGTTGTTTTTTTCATTGATGTTTTTTTGTTTTTTAATTTTAAATTTCAGGATGAAGGTGGGGATGAGATCAAGGAAGCTTCAAAACGTGAGTCAGGAGAGGCACAGTAGTGACATGTTTGTATTAGATGTACTTTTATCATTTGTGACCTTAATATAGATTGCTGCATTTGGGTGGTTGTAGAAAGACTTGATGTATTCGAAGATCTCCGAGTACTGGTGTGCTCAGGGGTTTGTAATGCTTCTATATAGGTTATAAGCTTGTTATTAAGGCATACCGAAAGAATATGGTTTGGTGGTTGATGACTGTTATTCAAGACAGTCCTTGAATCAGTGATTTCTTGTTCGAATACAATGGCTTGAGGTGATTGTTATTTCTTTTGATCCTCCTTTTTCTTTTTCTTTTTCTTTTCTGGGCGCGTGTGGTCTTGATAAATAATTGGGAAAATTACAATTCAGGGGGGTTTTCAAAAATTATTACACATTAGTTAAAAAGTTTATGATTTTAATTATTCATATTTATCATATATATATTTGTAAATAATTTTTCTGACTACCACTAATGGATAATTCCCCTTAAGTAATTTAGTGGTTACAGTTGTTTGGATGGTGATTGAGACCAAGGAGATTTTTTTGGGAACTTTTTTTTCCTTTAAATTTTTATTCTTCTTGCATTTTATTTTATGATACACCAATTAAACTGAGTAATTTAATGAGGATTTTACAGATGCTAGCCTGCAATTTCTGGAGTTGGATTGGTTTTTGTTTTGTGGAAGATATTGACTAGGACACCAAGTGGAAGATGCAAAGACACCAGGAAGCTATTGATTAGAAAAATGATTGCTTTTGGATGAATGAATATAAGCAAGTTGTCACCGACTGGGCGCTTGTCATCCTCTTGAGTTTGCGAATGGTACTGCATACCCGTGTATTATGCCCAAGGACCAACGCAGGAGATGTAATAGGGATCTACTCTGTCTGCTTTGCCGCTCACAGATTAATGCACTTGCAAGGTATTTGGTGTAAAACTTGCATCCACAATAAGTCGGTACGTGATATGCTACCAATGCTAGTCCCTGACGCCCTCGTCAGGGGACATTACCCTGCCTGCCTCTATGCTTGTCTATTCTCGTCCTCACGGGAAACCCACACTATACGGATACCATCCTTCGTGCGGACCCTACAATGAAGGTGCTTAGTATAAGTCCCACGTACCGTCTCCATCACAGTGCCCTTAGGCTGGCTCTGATACCACTTGTCACGGACTAGGCACTTGTCATCTTCCTGAGAAGCCGACTCCATAAGTGGTATTACATACCCCGTGCATTATGCCCAATGACCAATCCAAGAGATCCGATAAGGATCTACCTTGCCTGCTTTGTCGTTCACAAACTAATGAGCTTGCAAGGTGCTTGGTGTAGAACTCGCATCCCTAGTGAGTCGGTACGTCACATGCTACCATCGCTAGTTCTTAACACCCCCATTACGGGGAGATTACCCTGCCTGCCTCCATGCTTGTCCGTTCCCTTACCTAGGGAAAAACCTGCCCCAGCATGGACACCACCCTTGGTGCGGACCCCACAATGAAGGTGCTTAGTGTAAGTCCCACGTACCGTTCCCATCATAGTGCCCCTAGGCTGACTCTGATACTAGGAATGGCAACGGGGCGGGGTGGGGCGGGGCGGGGCGGGGCGGGGCCGGGTAGAACACAACTTGTTTTAATTTGGCTTGTGAACTTCAAATTTCCATATTTCCTTCATATTCTTTATCTTTTCATGATATATTGTAATAATACTGATGTATTATTATTGATTGTATTATTGATTGATATTATGTTGATATATTTAGTACAAATGTGAGAGGCTCCTTATATAGGAGATATAGGTGTAGTAGGTGAAGTGGAGGTGGTAGTGGTGTAGGTGAAGTGGAGGTGGTAGTGGTGTAGTGGGTTAGGTTTAGTGGAGTAGGTGAGGTGGTAGTGGTGTAGGTGAAGGTAAATTCTAACAATTATTGATTAGAATTTAGGATTTGATATTTAGACAAGTTTGATAGTATACCTATTGATGTCATTTTGGATTTTGATTTTTACCATAAGATAATCATTAAGAGTGCTTTTATTAGCACCTACCAAAATTCTTTGGACTCTCTATTTCTTTGGACCTCAACCTTAAACTCTAAATTTTAATAATATTTTTTTAGACACTCCACTTATTATCAAATCTATTCATATTCATAATATTTTCTCAATGAAATGCACACTCACCTAATTTTTTATCCATCTCCTTTCCTAACTCACTCAATCTTTAGAGTTTAGAACTTCAGTTTAGTATAGAATTCTTGGACCCCAATCTTCTATTACTCTTGTCGCTGTCTTAGCCGTCAACGAAGCATTCTGACAACTCTCATCTTCTCTGAACGCTCTTAAGTGTCGTCGAATCAATAATCTCTCTCCTCCTCTCATTATCATCTTCTTCGTTGCTTTTTGTATCTTCGTCATCGCTGAGATCGATCAAAGGTACTCTAATTTCTACGGGATTTGCATAACCGTTTGCAAGATGAGAAAAAACAAAATTATCGTTTGAATTGCCATTAGAATCATCGTCTAAATCGCCATTAGAATTTTGACCTTGTTTGGTAAGGATCATTTCTAGCTTATTTCAGCTTTTAGCTTAATTTAAGTTATTTTGATGTGTTTGGTTCAGCTTAACAATACAATTTATAGCTTTTTGTAAGTCAAAAATCAAATTATCTTTGAGTGGGGGAGGAGAAGTTTAATTTATAAGTTAAAAATCAGTTTATGTTCACAACTAAAAGTTATAAGCTGTTAGGTTATAAATTATAATCACTTTCTCATAGCTCTACCAAACAGGGTCTTTGAATGTAGCCTAAAACAATTTGTTCACCACTGTGTAGTTGAAAAAATATATTTTGTTCAGAATTGTTTTGTTGAACAATAATGATCCTGTCAGTATTGTATGTCTGAACAAAAATTATTCATCACTGTGTAACTTGAATCCATTATAATTTACAACTTAAAATAACATGAATTAAATCCATTCAAAATACATAATTTAAATCTATTCCAATTCACTCTTTTCTATTCTAAGTTAGTTTAACAAAGAAAATTACATAATTGATTATCTGCATTAATGTTCGGAACTTATGTATTGAACGAAAGGATTATGTTCAGTATTGTATTACCGAACATAATTCTAACAGTTAGCAAATCAGTATCGAACAGTTCGAACGAAACAAGAACGACCGAAAACGATTGAGAATGTTAATACAAGACAAATAAACAACCGAGAATGTTGTCCTCGTTCTCTATTACTCTACACAGTGAAATAAGTGATGAAGTATACATTATATTTGAAGCAAAACTTTCAAGTTCAATAGCATTGATGATGGTGATAAAAATGACACATTCAGGATTTAAGATGATTATGAAAAATAATAGATTTATGGTTTATGTTAATTAGTTATAAAAAGTAATAGGTTTATGATTTACAAACATGGAATACGTATAGTTGAAGTTGGAGGTGGGGGTGAGTGCTCAATATTATAGAGTATTAGTTCTTATCGATAGGTGGGTGTTTTATTTAATAATGTCTTTTAATATAATTTTACTTTAGGGTATAATTGTAATTAAAAAAAAATATAAAATGAGGGGTCCAAAGAATTTTGGCAGGTGCTAATAGCAGCACTCAATTATTAAACAGTGAAAATTTAAAATTTGGAGCTTCATATTGCATTAAATTTACATTACATTGTTTTTTATCTTCCAAATTTTCTACTATATCATTTTTTTAAGCAGTTATTCAAGTTTTGGTAATATAATCTGACTTTCCCCTCTGCCAATAATTTCTGTAGATAAACAAAAATCTGATGCTGTTAGAACAGAATCTATTCTTTTGGACATTAAGGGGCGCACATATTGGAGATTAAAAGGATATTCTGATTATTCTAATGTTCTGCTTCAAGGTTATGTTTTAACTATATTATTTCGTAATGTTTTTAAGCATTCATTTTGGAGTTTTAAATGCCAATCCTTTTTCTTCAATTTACAGATGTGGGAACCTGGGATGCAGTTCAGTCAGGTGAAAAATGGTTCACCTTTGATGTTGAACAGGAAAAAGAAATTGAAAAACACATTTGTTCTTTAAGGTAAATACAATTGTTTGTTTCACTTGTAGCCTGTAAGTGCATTTAGTCCACCTTATATGCAACAGTATGCATTTCTTGCATATTGTTTTAGGGCTCGTAGAATAATTTCATGATGTTATTGTGATGTTATTGTAAAACACAGGAATGCTAACCAAAAAAAAGAGAAAAGGTTTTTTGCTTACTTGTTTCTGACAATGGTATAAAATATGGTTTAAAATTAATTCTGAGCACTTTATTATACCTCAAGCAAGCTTTCAATGTAGAATTGTTAGTCTATATTGATCCATCTGTATTAATATTATTTTAGCAAGACTAGTTGTGTGCACTTTTATTCATGAAACGGTGTTGACAGGAATTATTACCTTTTCAAATTGTGGTTTTGCTTTTAGTTGATGCTTAACTTTCTTAGCATCTTTTTCCAGGAAAAGAAGGTTATGGTCTCAAAAAAATTATTGATGGGCTTCATCTAAAACTACTGAAGAGGAAATGATTTTGTAACTAATCCACCACCTTAAGTCAGTGCAATCAAGGTAACTGTTGGATCATCTCTTTCTCTAATGTTATTTGTCAGGTACTTGATTGGGCGTGGAAGTGGCACAGCTAAATTAATTTCACTATTTTTCGATTTAGTATTTGATGAGTGAAAGGAAAATGACATCACTTATGGCTATTCATATATATATATATATATATATACATTTCAAGTAACCAAACAAAATGAATTTTCTAAGCAATGACCATTCATTCTCTTCCCATTTTTGCAGCCTAACTAAACAAATGCAAGGAATTTAGCTTCTCATTTGTTTTTTTTGTTTTTTTCTAATTTTCTTTTCAGCAATGATTGAGGACCACAATTTTTGTAATTCAAATGGCTCGAAATTGCTAAAACGACGTCGTTTTGGCAATTTTGAGCTATTTGAGTCACAAAAATTGTGGCCCTCAAATATTTTCTTTTTTTTTTATATTGTTACTTTAATTCAAGAACCGAACACAGCACCTTTAATTTAAGGAACCTTTATGAAGATAACTGTGACTTGTTTTGCCTTTGAGTCGATCAAATAAGATTAGGGCAACATTTTCCAATTTAAGACATGTTTCCAAGCTAAAACTAATACCATATCTGTCATTGTAGGGCAGATAGACAGACGGCAATGAAAATGATCAGCGGACTTTTGGCTTCAACCGTATCTACTCAGAAGGGTTCAATGAAGTATACATTATATTTGAAGCAAAACTTTCAAGTTCAATAGCATTGATGATGGTGATAAAAATGACACATTCAGGAGTTCTGGCTTTCATTGTTTTTTGATGAATTGTATAATTGGAACTTTTTGAAGTTTGCTATGCTGTATGTTTTTGCTAATTGTTAGCTCTAAGAATATTGAATTAGATCAATCGGCCAATGTGTAACAACCTACGGAAGTTTATACTCCATTTTTGTTCTGTTTGCTGCTTGTATTATGGAGAAGCAAATAGATTGATGCTTTTATCATAAAATCCAACTTATTGCCTCATATGTGCATTTACATTTAGAGATGTGTTAATAACTTGCTTGAGTGCTACCTAAAAAGGTTGAAAAATAGACCTTAGCAATGGACCTTAACTTTGTAGGTTGTGTTCGGATTTGTGTATTTTGAAATGGAAAGATTTAAACATGAATCATTTAAGCAGTAATTCAAACTTTAAATATGATACTTTTAACATGAATTTTCATCTGAAATTTGAAAGTTTTACACTAATGGATTATTACGAATTTGAAATAAAAGTAAAAAATTTGAAATCTTTCATCTAATCGTTAGTCATCCAAAGACTAATAAAATATATATTTTCTTAATTCTGCTAATTTTTCAATCTTTCTATAATATCTAACTTCTATTCTTTTATAAAGCTTAAGCCTCGTTTGGGAACCTTTTTTTTTAGCTAAAAAATTATTAAATTAGTTAAAAAGTCAACAATTCATACTAAAAAGTCAAAGATTCTCTTTTCTCTTTACTTTTTACACATCTTTTCGTAAAAAGTCAAAAAATTATTCCAAACATACTAATTTTTTTTAGCTTATATTTTAACCAAATAATCAAAAAGTTATTAAATTAACCTGTTTCCAAACGAGGCCTTAGTATCAAATCTATTCATGTGGAAAAAAAAAAAAAAATTAAAATCATATAGCTTCATCTTTTTGAGAGGCAGAAACAATTTTTTAAAATTTAAAATTATTTTTTTAGTGTTTACTTTAATCAAACTAGTTTCTATTTAAAAAAAATAAAATTACAAAACTGTTTCTAAAATGCAAGCCAAACATGGCCTTAATTTTTGAAGTGCAAGCATTCAGATTGAGCTTATTCAAAGGGCGGCCTATCCAACAAAAACAAAAATAAAAAAGTGTAAAATTCGTTTGGAGGTAAAAGAATGTTAAAACAATCCATTGTTCAACTCTCCCCAATTAGTTACAAAATATCATTCACCGTGTTACCTTTCTCCTATTCATTTTTTCTTTTCTTTATACAAATCTATTATAGTGAGCTTTTTCAATTCCATTAAAATATTACACAACTGTCCCACCTGGATACAGCTAGCATGTGGAGCCAGGGCAGATAACATGGTTCCATGAACTTTGTACATTTTTATGAAGTCGTATTGGAAATAAGTCGGACTTCGTATAGGTCAGATGTTCCCTTCCTTATTATACCTCAAGCAAGCTTTCAATGTAGAATTGTTAGTCTATATTGATCAAATTTATGAATGTTAGTTGAAAATTGCCTATCTTTGCCGGCCTGCAAAACATTTCTGTAAATCATGTAACAAGAGCATATAGAACTTACCAACTTCAGCTGTGATCCCCGGTCCAAAGAATGAAGTAAATTTTGCCTAAGAAACCATCGGAGTTTGATATGTCAGTATGGAATTATGCTTGCTGTTCACTACAATTAAGCATTTTAAAAGATGAACTTATATGACTGTCAAGACACAAACTTGCAGAAAGAATGTAACCATTGAGATGGAAGATCATAAGAAAAATAAACGAGTAGCGGAAGTGGTTCAGCACGCTAAATGCACAAAATTATCTCTCACCTGTCTTCGTTCAAAATCTGACAACTGCAAAGCTTTTGCCTCAAACACCAAAACTAAACAGTATTTACCATCTTCAGTGACCTGGGGCATGGTTATTAACAACATAAGATGGCAGCAACCATCAGATAGAAAACTATCAAGTTAAATTTTCATTGAACATAACAATATTATTATTCAAGAAAATTTTGCTCGTAAATAGATTTGTGTTGTTTTACTTGAACTATTCAATTTTTAAAATCTATATTCCACTAAGCCATAGTGTGCGATTCAAAGAGAAACCTTAACAGGATGAAAGATCAAATAATATTGGGTAGTAACAAAAAAAATTATTATTTCATTCCTAAATCAAATTGGGTTCCCACTAAAAAAAATTAATGTAAATGACACCATCATTTAGCAAGAAGGGCAGCAAAATAGTTGGGAATATTTGCTATCTTATCAAATGATTCTTAGGACTTAAAGGTTCTTTAAAAACGAATTGTCATATGGACTGTCGGTGCCGGATTTCATAAAGGAAATTAATGGAATGGTTATTAAGCTAATTTTTTAAAATAAAATTAGCAAAAAGACAATTTCTTAAGGCAATATATGTTCAAAGATGCTGCCAACTATAAATGCTCAAAAGGCTCTCACACTGATGAAATTTAAGCAAGTTTGAGAAGCATACTTCTTCGCGAATCATTTGCAGAACAGGTGCACTCCTTCGGGGAATCCCTCCACCCTAGATAGAGAGAAAAAATTATGACATAGAAATTGAATCAATTATCTAATAAAATTCTTTAAGAAAAAAAAAAAATAGAACATTACAATTACATATCACTATATTATTTCCGATTCCATTTTGATTTGGTAATGCTTACATTTCTAGATAATGTTGAATCATGTGATTTATTCATCCATTCCATCTTCGAGCCTTCACTCAAAGAATAAAATACTTATCCTTGCTTCTTGCAAACAAGGCAGCAAAAGTGTCTTTTCTCATTTGGAAAGCAATTCTATGAGTAAAAATTCAGTGTAATGGTTATACGACATGTTGTATCACCTACCAATAATAAAACAATACATGGGAGGGTGAACCCCACATTGGCACAAGGCAGGCAGTACTCAAGTTCAAATAACATGGTAGTTTGTTTTCCTAGGCATATTATGTTCTCAATAAGAGAACTATCATTCAAAACGAAATCAGCTTCTACAACATAAAGCGAGAGAGTATACCTGACCATATTGAAAAATTCGTTTCAATGCCTCATCCAAATGTTGCTCATCCCCATAACGATATCGTGTAACATCATTCCTGACCTAATATACATAACAAAATGTCATTCTTTATGAATAAATGAAACTACGTCAAGTAGAAAGTCTCCATCCATATGTACATGAGAGAAGACACTAATAAATTAAGTCAGCTTGTTAGTGCTACTCATCACGTGGTCAGGTTTGATTAATCAGCACATAAGACATGATACTTGGCGATTCTCTGTCCAGGCTCCAGACCAAAATAGCAGGTCCACATATGAAATGTAGTGGTACCTGATGCTGGGGCCTACTTTTATCGGTGCTATTACTCCAACATTCCCCTCTGTAAAGCAGTGATACACAGGCAGGCTTTATTTCTTTCTTTTTCTTCTTTCTTTTTTCAATATTTTATTTTAATTTTGATAAGTAAAACACTCATGCAACTATATGGTGTGTGTGCACGTGTGCTTCTGCCAAATCTCTCAACTAATTTGTAACAACAATTCTTGTCCCACTATTCCAGTAAGTAAATCCAATACATTGCCATCATAACTAGACAAATGGAAAAGTATTACTATAAATATGGGCTTGTAAAGAAAAAAGTTAATCTCAAATCAAAAAGAAAAAGGAAAAGAAAAAGAAAGAAGTTGATCCACTTAATAGGGAAAATATGTCCAACAATTATTCTTAAATGATATTTACGAGACAACTTTGGTAGATGCTACATTTGAGCAACCATCTATTCAACCAAGAAGCATTTAGTAGTGAAAAACAGTTACACCTAGAAGTGCACAAGCGAAGAGTAAAAAATGAAGGATAAAAAGTCACATTAAATGACATCATTTTGCATGACAACAATAATAATGATCATTCGGTTCCATAATTTGATAAGTAAATTTGTAGGAAAGGACAAAACAATTTGCAAGAAAAATGTTTTACTGAGATAATGAATACGGCTAACATCAATCATAGAATTATGAAAAGTACCTGCTTAAGAATTGGAGTGGCACATTTCTCCCGCAACATCTGGGCATTTGAATAAGTCAAACACGGCACTGGTTTTAGCTCTGCATACTGCAAAAAAGCAGAATGCTATACAATTACAATGATGCAGCAGACAATGAGCATTCCTTGATTGCAATCAACAAGTTTAAGAACTCCAGTGTATCACTTTTTCATACAGGAGGCATGGAACTAAATGATACAAAACAAATAAAGTAAAATTCCATAAAATATAACCAAGAACAAATGAAGCATAAGTATATCATCAAGAAGAGCAACCAAGAATAGAAGAAGTCACTGGTTAAATGGAGAAAGTACACTAATCAACTTCAGAAGTAGCCAGATTACTCCAGCTACTGCAGAAATAATATATGTGAAATGATTTTTCTTTGCAGAGCAGTTTTAATACTCCAAACATTTTGCTATTTCTATTAAAATTTCCAAATTTTGAACAAGACTTTGATGAATTTATGACCCTGATCTAGGCCGAAAAGTACCAAATTGAGGCCACTGAAGTTACATTTTTTGGCTTTCAATATTGTTTATTTAGTGGAGATGATGTGTTTTGTGCACTTGTACAGATTTGGCAGGTAACACGCAAATTCAATCAAAAAGTGCGCGAAAGCAGATTCTCCGAGTGAGAAGCGAAAAATCCGAGCCAGCCACCCCACCGCACGTGCGCTTGAGAGGCCCACCTAGGGATGCGTGCGCAGAATTTTGGGTCTGTTTTGCTGAGAATAAAAGAAAAAAAAAAAAAAAGACGCTAACCGAGGGTTCGAAATATTACTTTGAAGAAAAGGGAGACTAGGGTTTTAAAGAGGGATTTCTTCTCAAGCTAAAAGGACAACTTCTATGGGGGTTTCTTCCTCATCCTCTTCCTCTTCCCACTCCTCCATAAGCGGCTAGTCTTCTTTTCTAGGGTTTTGATGAAACCCTAGCCATGTAACATGATTTTTCATAAGTTTTGATTGTGAATCAGTTTGAATCAATGTATGGATGATTTAGAAGTTTTTAATCATTGTTCTTTTCATCTGTTTAAGTATTTTACCTTTTGTGATTGTTTAATACTTTCCATACATTAGTTTTCTTTGTATTTGTATTCAAAGTACGAGACGAATCATGCTATGAGAGACGGGTTGTGTTGCTACTGTAATTTAGAGCAAATGCCGTATGCTACTTGGGATGACTCGTGCCTGTACGTTGAATGCAACAACCCTCTTGATCAATATTTTAAACTTGTAGTTGTGAAATATTGGGTATTTCAAACCGGATTACAATTGATAGCCGATGTTTAATCTTGTTTATATGGTTAGTGGCGAATTCTTTGCCCTAGGATTTTTTTCAAAAATTAATATCTCAAACCCTAACTTTAATTATCAATTTAATTTATCAATTTCATCTAATTTCTTTTTAGTCATAAAATCTTTTAATCAAAATTAATTTAGGAATTTAGCGATTAAATTAGTCTAATTTCACAATTGTCCCTGTGGATCGATACCTGGACTTGCCATTATTCTAAAAGAATTTGGTATAGTTTAGTGTTTAATTTTGGTGTATGTAACGTCCCATCTCTATTCAATTTTTACAGAAACAACACCAAAAACTTAAGTTTAATCTATAGCTGTATATCAAAACAGAATAAATATGTTATATTTGACCGCAGAAACATTTTTATAACGATGACATAGTATAGACAGGTGCAACTGGGGCATCAGGCAGCATGCGCGAGTGCAACAAGACAAGACAAGCATACTTGAATTTTAGATACCGCTTTTGGAATTATTATACTTGTGAGAAATCATGTAATGTGTCCACGACATAATCCCAGTAGAAGCAAAAGTAAATTTCACCTTGAGAGCCATTCCAATTATGGCAAGAGGAAAGCCATATGTTAGCATTATTGCAGACCATTCAGATCCAGGGAGGATGTTGAAGTATGCCCCAAAACCATACCTGTGGAATGCAGACACATCAATGTTAACAATCAAGATACTGTTTGGAATATCAGGCATCAATCAAAGGAAAATGTACTCACGAGAGGAGTGATACTCCAAGACTTAGTCCAATAACACCAAAAGAAACCTGCGTACATTAGGTAACAACATTGTTTCAATACACAAACTGGGGTGATCTGCTTTGTGAAGCTCATTCATAAAAAGTGATTTTTATCAAGGAACCTTGAAAAATCTACAGTTATGAATGGTTCATGTAAGCTAATAAAAAATACTGTAATATATCATAGCCTCATAAGTAATTCCACTGGCCATGAGAACAGAACACTACTTTCCACTTGATGTAAACAGCCACTTGCGATCATAATCTAAGCATGCACTTAGTGGCACACAGAAATAAGGGATAAAAAGGGTTTAATTAGTTAGCATCTAGCATTCAAATTAATGTAGTGTATGCCACACATTAACTTTTCACAGAGTTACAGTCACAGATCCGATGCCAAAAGTAAAAAGAAACCAACTTTTTTTTTATAAGCCTAGGTGAGGCAATTTTTTATCAGCAAGAAATATGCTCAAAATAAATCAACAGTTTTTTTTTAAACACTATCCCAAAAAAAGATATTTTACAGTTCTCAATATTCAGAGTAAGTAAAAAACCAACCCAGTTAATTGGCTCCCACTTCGAAATTATCTCCCAATTGAATCCAACATATAGCACTGTGCATTAATGTAGAGTAAGCCTGCATACAGATCCTTTAAAGGGCAAGAAAAAGCCCATAAAAGCAATACTTTCCTTCGACCCATAGCCATACCTCTTTACAAAATGGAAAGAAAAATATTTCTTAAAATAATTTTTTACCCAGAAACTCATCCACAATGATGTAACATTCTCATGTATGAAATTACAAGCCACAGGGAAGCATGTACTTTTATATTTTGTTTCAGAATGAGAGCATGTTTGTATGTAGCTACTCAAATGGGAAAGATTTCGTTGATTATTTCAACTAGTCTGACCCGCCTATTAGGTGCTGTAAGCTGATAATCTTTGAGCCTCGAAAAAAAAAACTGATAATCTATAAGCAAAATTCAAAAACATCCCTTCTACACTTTCAGGATAATCAACTTTTCCCATCTCACTTAAGTCATTTCTAGTCTTAAGGTGTAAACAGTAGTCGCAACAAACAAGGAACACGGAATCCCAATAAATATATGTGTGTTGTGTGTGTGTGTATAAGCTATAAGTGCATTATTGTCCAAGCTACACCAGGCTATTGCCCAAGTGCATTATTGGGAATTGCTTTTCCATGGAAGCAACTGCAAAAATAAGGAGGTGCAAGTGAAAAATGTAGTCGTACTTGGACTAGAGAACAAACTCCACTTAGGTCACATCTAGCCCTTACTCAAATTTGAGTAAAAGCTTTATTTGATATGAACCACTTTAACGGACAAACTTCCATTTGATTAAACATTTGCGTCTCCCTTGATTTGGGTAAAATTTTGAGTAAAACCGAATTTGGTATAAGTTTGGGTCAAGAAGTGGAGGGTGTTTTGAGTGATTTGACCCAAATTTAAGATTGATACATATAGGTTTTGAGTCAAGGATTGAAGATGCAAGATCATTTTGAATTTATAGATATGTTTTTATATTTAAAAATTTTAATACTCCCCTTACGACGACTAAAATAAAAACAACACTATGAACTCAAATGTATCACTAACATAATATCATAATTCACACACAAACACAGAGAGAGAGAGAGAGAGAGAGCTATTCCAAATACAACACTATTCAATCAATTAGGTACAAAGATTCAGATACATACAAACACTCCCAAAACTTGAAACAAATAAGAAGCACAAAAATTAACCTAAACAACGAGAATCTCCAGAAGAAAGTTTTGCATTGAAACAGTATCGAAATATAAACCGTACCTTGGCCAAGGAGAACTCCTCGTCGGGGACAATTGAAAGGTCGGCGGAGGAAGGCTGAGTTGAATCGGCAGCTCTGGTGATGAAAACGTGCCTTAGACGGTGGTGGTAGGGTTTGATAAGAGAGTGGTCTTCACAGGTGAAGAAGCTCTGTCTAATGCGAGAATTGGGATGAGATGTGGAGGAAGGTCGATTTAGAGAGAGAAAATGGGGACCATTGAAGAGACCTAATCGATGCGAGCAGAGTATTGTAGCTCCGCCGCCACCGCCACCGCCATCGCCATATACAGTTGCTGCTTTTATCGCCATCGCTTCTTCTCACTTTGTCTGTCTCTCTCTAGAGTGTGGTTTCTCTCTGTCTATCTCTCTCTCTCTCTGTATATATATATCCATTGGAGAGTGAACGAGAGGCTGCAGTTTGAAGACCACACCAAGTGCTCTACTCTCATACGCCAAAATCCAGATGACGGGTATGTGTTCGGTATATATCAGTTAAATAATAATTTAAAATTTGAAATTTATACAGTTGCTGCTTTTATCGCCATCGCTTCTTCTCACTTTGTCTGTCTCTCTGTCTCTCTCTAGAGTGTGGTTTCTCTCTGTCTATCTCTCTCTCTCTCTCTCTGTATATATATATCCATTGGAGAGTGAACGAGAGGCTGCAGTTTGAAGACCACACCAAGTGCTCTACTCTCATACGCCAAAATCCAGATGACGGGTATGTGTTCGGTATATATCAGTTAAATAATAATTTAAAATTTGAAATTATTCAGGTACGGTTGGGTCACCCTTACGTTTTTAATTTTCTCTTTATATTTATAAAAATTTAAAAATTTAAAAAATTAAAATAAAAATTTATTTGGTAAAATTTTTGATTTATAAATTAGTGGTCTCAGTTTATAAATTTGGCCAAAAAATAAAAACACAAAAAATATATTTCCATTTTGAGTTTTTTTTTTACCACCCAACACTAGTCACCACCCCCACCATTTTCCACCACCGTCTGCAACAATTTATAATGTAACAAAAAAAGTCACTAATTGTTAATTTTTAGCGACATATATAACAAATCGTTACAAAAAATTAT